TGAGAATCGAATCACGAGAAAATATTATTTTGTGAATTTTTGCAAAGCATTCACGCAAACTCGAATATACGTTAAGACGAGATTCTCGAGAGGGCTCAACACTATTTCACGTGATGAATGGAAGTTACGAGTTAGCTTATCACTATCGAATGCACATACAGAGACTCACCTTAAACAGAATTCCGATACCGAGATTCATGAATGGCTTGGTGAAATCTATCACGCTCTCCCGAGCGTAATTGATCGTCATGGATGCGACGGCCAGATCCGCTCTCTGTGGGCAAAAGGGAAATTTCTCGCTTGAAAACATGTAGTACTGACTCACCAACTATCAATGTTCGAGAAGTCATACAGAAAATCGAAATTTATCGGGAACGGGAAGCCATTAGGATTTTCTGTAATTACAAATGAAATTTTTATACGTATCGCTGATAATTATACAGAGAGAAGATCTTAATTTCAACGATGTTCTCTAATGTACATTGTTAATGTCTCAAGTAATTTCAAGTTTAAGTAACGAGATGAAAGGAGGAGATACTTGATAAGAATTAACATTTCCTTATTCTATTCTGTCTCCTTTCTCTTTTATTTTAATTATTTCTTTTTATTTAATTCAATTAAAATTTAATCTAAACTCTTAACGAATTATTACACACAGGGAGGAGGATTAGAAAAAAACTTTTACTCGTATCTCGAATATCTCGAATTAAAATCAAAGAAATACATCCTCTTATAATCACACCATCTTTGGCTTTCGTTGAAAATCATCGACAAAGACTCGTCAACCAAGCGTTCGCCTAGGAAAACAGCGAATGTATTTTTTATAAGGGAATCAGAACACGGAACACCGCCAATGACGTCTTTCCTTCAAGACGATACCCGACCTCACCCGGTTTCTGGGTTAAGGCGGTTTCTTTTATCATGGACAGATTGCATATTTGCATATTTTACGAACCGGCAATCTTCGAAATTCACCGTCTATTTGTTCCTCAGTAGCGATTAGTCGCGCGAAACACAGATTCGCCTCGAGCCATCCTCAACCTTGAAGCCTCGAGGCGCATAGCTTATCTCTTTTTACGGCGAAAAATTCTCTTCCTTTTCATCCTTTTCATCCTTAGATTCTTACCTTTGCCCCTTCGACCTTGCACGATAAAGTTTAGGTCGAAGCTTGCATCGCGTATTCTGATGACTGACTAGTTACGTGGCTGTACTACTTGCGCCCGAGTAGCATGAAATATGAATATGCAATCCATTTGTCGTTTCGCATTAAATATTATCGATAAGAGGATAGAAATAGAACGAATGGAAATTATATTAAATTTATTACTATTAGTAATCGAATATTATTATGGATAAAAAATTAATAAAAATATTCTATGATTTATTGGATTCAAGGATCTTTTATTATTCAAATTTTATGGTCATATTATTTATGGTTCGTGTGCAAGTTTTAATGGATTGTCAGTTAAAACAGAATGTCATGGCCTTTTGAAAATAAAGAAAGAACGTGTTTCAGAAGCGATTAAACTATTGAATATTATTGTTACTAATAAAACTGTCTCTGCAAGTGAAGCAAAATAGATACAATTATATAAATAAAACTTGAACTAATAGTAAAGGATAATATCAGTTGCACGATTCAATAGAAAAAAATTACTGCAATCTTTCCGATATAGAGAAGAACAAAGATCATTTCACAAACTTTTCGTCAACAGTAATATATTGACTTGAACAACTATCGATAATACAATTAATTCCTCTCGATGTCTTTAATGATTTAAAGTAATACTGTTCTTGCGAAAAGCCAGAAATACCAATCAAAATTACATTCTGGCAATATTTGCAAGATTTACATTAATATTTCAATAAAATCTTTGATAGATGAGGGCTTCATAAATTATCCTACAGATGTTTTCCCAATGAGGCAGACAAAATTCCGGCTTAATAACCATGTTCTTTTACAATTCAGATGTCACGTGGTAACATCTGTGGCAGTTCCTATGAATCAGAATATCCGATACGTGGATCATCTGTTAGAAAACATCAAATTAGATGCTCAAACTCAGGCATGCATAATGAAAATTTCAACTCAAGATGGATTTATTACGACAACATCATACTGCTAGTTTGCATATAAAATTGTTCATTGAACTTTACGTTTGCTATTTTTTTTAATGCTTCTTCTTTTTTCCTGAGAAAAAAATACAATTTCATCGAATCTTTCAAGCGACCCGAATTACGCTTGTACGAAAATGATAATCGATATCGATATCTCATAACAGGATAAAATATTTTCATATTTATTCGAAAATAATAAATAAAGAAGCATCAGATTCCAAGAAATCCAAGAAAAATATTACAGAAGATTCAAATTTTACACCATATAAATAAAATTTCTCAAGATCTTCCCCTTTACCTTTTCCATCAACTCTCTAACGATTCCATTCCACTCCTTGGTCTTTGGATCGTAAACGCCATACATGTGATCAGGCACCAATCTTATGGCATACTGGAACCCGACCTGATTAGCGATCCACTTGAGCAAATCGATGCAGAATCCCTCGAACCTCGCGTTCCCTGTCAGATTCTTGTCCTCCTTTACCATCACGTATGGTTTTTCCTGCGAGAAATAAGATTCCTTTGATGGATCACGCGAGGCAGAGTGTCGAGGACACGGATGAATACAGATGAGGAGAAGGGAACGATGGAAATAGGGAGAAGGACAGACACTCCTCTTTTATCCATGGAAAAAATTCAAGAACTGGTATCGATGGTATGCTCTGTACTCGGTACTCGGCATCATTGGACGGACTAATGCAAACGATTCTGATGGAAACTTCTAACTCTACTTCGCTTTCTTTTTCTCCCCCTCCTGTTCCTTTCATCTTGGAAAATGGAGAGAGGATGAGATCGTCGTATCTCGGCCGACGATTTCTTCCCGACTGAAATTAATTTCTTTCGTGGAAGCAAACTTTATTGATCGCGGGTAAACTCGGCATAAAGTATGTTTAAACGACTGAATATTAATCGAATTGTATAATATATCTAAAAGAAATATTCCGTATCGTGATGGATTTTAATAAAAATTATGAGATAGTTTCGAGTCCAATGTATGCCAACTACAGTTTTTCTTCAATTTAAATGACGAAAAAGAACTTTGGATTATTCTCAGATATACCGCAATAATTTCATAAGCAATTTTCTTTTTTTTTTTAATTTTCTGTAATAATCCGCTTCCTCTTCTATTCCAAGTTTCTCGATTATTCATTGCAGATATAACATTGCTTTATGATCTTTTAAGGTTCACGGTTAATATTCTGTGATGTACAGTAATTCGACAAACGGTGATACGAGCATTGCGATAATTACCTCTCTGGTCATAACGACCAGGGTGATATTAGTGGCGCTGGTCTCGTAAAAAGCACCGACGTCGGTCACGTTAACGCCTGATCCGGGCTTCCACTCGCCAACTTTCACCAGCTCCTCCTTCTTCAATTTGAGCAAGTCGAGCTTGAAATTATTACGCTTCCCTTCGTTGAACTCGATATGTCCGGTTAGGCCGTGTAAACCTGCCTGCGAACAGAAATGTTCGTAACCCTAAATTCCAGTTTAAAATTTATTTTATAGATTTATAATTTGATTCTGAACATTTTTGATTGATTGGAAAATTGTTTGGAAGAAAGAAATATTCGATGATGTGAGGTTTTCCTAATTTGGTTGTTTTAAAGGAGGATAGAAGATGGAATATATTCTTTAGAATAAGAAATAATATTACTAGAGTAAATCATGCCCTAAAGAATGATCTTTAAAATACACAAAAAGTGAGAGAGAACCGTATACTATTTGCATCCTCGATATTGTGAATTCTGGTATGATAAATAATGATATATAACGTAGAGTAATTGCTGAATCACGATGATTACTCTGTAAATAATGATTTTTAAAAAAATGTTTCAGGTGAATGTTGATTGATTTCGAGAGAGATTGGTTTAATTTTTTATTTAAAAAGCAAACCTTTCATATATCCACTACATAGAAAACTACTCACGTGAAATTATACTCCTCTTAAAATCAATCAATCACTTTATCAAACAACTAAATCAATTCGTCAATTAATCTTTATTCAAAACATTTTTCATTAAAATTATTATCTATCGAATATATACCCACTCGATGTATCTTAAAATATCTATTTTTATCACGAGTTAATCAATTTTTAGCAAGTTTTTTCAATTCAATTCAATATTCCTGTTTCCTCTGTTTTGAAATACTTTTCCTCGAATCATTAAATAAAAAATATTTCCTCGACGATAAAATCAAGTCTCTAATTAAGTTTCATTCAATTGAACATCGATCACAACTTGGCCAATTCTCCAAAACATAATTATATGATACAAAACCGGTGTTGTTTAATATTTCATCAAATTACGATCTCTATTCGACATACCTGTCGCCTTTGTTTTCGAATACGAATCATCATCATGCTCATATTGCTAGTATCATTCAGTAATGTGCAACAATCATCTCTTTTATCTTTGAATCACATCCTGATCTTGTCCATATGACACAGAAGAATACTAGAAATGTCTCTGTTAATCATTACCTGAATTTGCTTAATTTATAACACTTTTTGTCTGAAACAGCTATGGACCAAATTCCAACTCATTATCTTTCGGTATTTTTATCGGTTGCACAGTTTTTTGCCAGAAAATGACATAACCCAATTTCTTTGTCGTTTCGACGAGCCATCGTGACACCACTATCTTCATAGAGGATAATAAAGATTAAATCTTTTTATTTTGCTGTTGTTTTTGTCGCTTCTTGAAAATTAAAACTACGTACTTTCGAGAATTTTAATTCCTCTTTTTATAAACTATTTTATAGTCAACAAGGGATGCTAACTACAAGAGTCGATATTCTAAATCTTTCGTAATGACGTTTACCGAATCGTTTCGAAACGAACAAGGGCCGGAATAATTAGAATATCCATGTTATAGCGGCTTACGAGATGCTATTCATGCACTGACTTCCTCTGTTAATTGTTTTCGCATCTACGCCCATGCTCGTGCAAAATCGCGGACCCATTTTCACGTACCAACTGTTCTGGAAACAGGAACATGTCGATCTTCCAGTCGCTTCGCTCGTTTTGCATCGATGGATGAAAGTATACTAATTATTTATCATTGTGATTAGAGGATTTTGTAATGGAAATGCAGATATTTTTGTGTAATTATTTAATGATTAATTATTAAGTGAATAGAAGTATAAAATAATCCAATAGTTTATTAATATCATTGTTCCTTCTAATACTTTTTATTCTTTTTATTCTCTAGACAGAAAGAGATTCTTAGAAAGAAAGAGACAATAAATTCTATCGACAAATAACATTTCAAAAGAAAATTATCGAGGATTTAATAATATAACAAAACACAATCGTTTTCAGCAAATTGAATCGATTGATATATTTTATGATATTTTCTATGTTTCAAATTTGTTTATAAAAATTTGAAAATATCTCGCGTATCATTCGCTATGATTAATTTAATTGCGGCAAAAATTGTTTAACAAACGAGAAACTTGTCGAGCGATATGAATAAAAATTGAAAGGTTGTTTGAAATAAAACTGAAACGAAGTTGACTCGATAAAAGCCAGCCAGTGTCACGTACTACAGCGTGTTGAAAAAAATCGATGATTTAGAAAAGTTTAAAATTGATGCCGTATAGAAAAAAAAACTTTGAAAAAGATTGTTAAATTTTCCAGAATCGTTCCATACAAATTTTTTCCAGAATCTTATGTAAAATTTTCTTTTCATCTCGTTATTGGATATGGAAAAACTTTATAATAGGCAAGTTGAGAAGAAAAAAAATAAGAATGCTGGAATAATATACGAAAGAGAAATTATCGTTTTGAATTTTTACAATCTAAATTCCTTGATAGAACACACTCTTAAATAATTTCTGACATAATTTCGCTTTTTCACAGCGTCTGTCAATATGATTTCGAATTTATATTCGAAAAGCCAAAGAAGGATCGAAGATCGTAATTCATCCTGTCGTTCACTTCTAAAAATATCCACCACGTTTTGCATTTCAATTTCAGAATTGTAGATGACGAGAGATGGGATGGATCATTTCGGTGATTTCGATTCCCTATCAGCCTCGATTTTCAGTTTTTTCGTGAGTTTCACTCGAAAATTCGCGAATTTGAAATTAAATTGAACCTAATATTCCCGTGAATTGAAAAGGAATAACGAGGTGATTTTCCCCTTGATCAACCTCGCTCGCTATGAAAAATGAGAATTTTTGGCCTAGAGGATGGGAGTCATTCATCAACTGGTTAAAATAAATAATATCGAACGTTTAAACGTTATTTATCGAACAGTTAACAATCAACTTGTCCTCTTATGGAATCGGAAACTCGCATGACGTATTATTTCTGCGTATCGGTGCGCCAAATTTACTGTTCATTTATCAAGGAACTTGTTTAATTTGCATCGAATATGCGCAGAGCAGTTCATTAATCGATACTCACCTTCATAACGAACAAATCACACGTTTTGCAATTCCAATTCGATGAATCACATGTGCCACGTGTGTTACGATCTGCTCTTTCTCACGATCATTCGTAAATTTATATTTGTAACAAGCTTGAAATTGCGATCAAACGTTTCTCTCCTTTTCTTCATTCGTTTTTTCACGAGTTTAAACACAAATGTTTGATAAAATGATATCGTTGAGAGTAAAAAGTCAAAGGAGATTAGAAAATTCGATTATAATTCTCACATTTTTCAATTATATCGCAGAAAACGAATGCAATCAGTATATACCGCCATGATTCATTGAAACATATCATATTGTCTCAATATACTCTTCGATTGAATAATTTCATCAATCAGTTTAATTTTATAACAGAAAAATAAAATTCGCACTCTCGAGCAGTATTTAAACGACACGATGATTGTTCCGCTATATAAATCGTGCATTCAAATTCGCGTTTTCCTTGATTAATTTCCAATCAACGAAAATATGGAAAATCTCGTTCGATTCGAAACTTCATTCGGTCCAACCAATTGCGATCGAAACGTTGTCGAGTTTCTAGAATTGCGTGTTGGTCGAACTAGACGGAAACTTGGAGCATGGAAGCAATATTCACTTAATAAACCCGTCCACGAGTGTTGTCCACAAGGACGTGAGCTGAGATCCATACGAGATCTAACACGTGTTACTCGTGTCACGGTGATAGGACGATCGTGCGGAACTCGAGAGTCGTCGGGCGGACGCAAGCGGAAAACGGAATTGTTCGAATGAATCGCGGGAAATGGACCATGGAAAGGCGTGTCAAAGAGGACAAAAAGACGTTCGTGGAAGAGTGTCATGTTTGAGCGAAGATATATAGCCTCGATGGAAGAAAAGTTGATCAACGGAACGATGAGAAGGGAAGAAATGGAGCAACGATGAGGGATGATATTACGTTTGAAAACAATTATCGTGTTTAACGAAATGTGTTAATCCTTTAACAATTTACGGTACACATTTGCACGGGTCGTTGATAAACGTTTAAATTGATTTATACGATTAATGAATTACGTTCATGTATATCTATTTACGTGTTTCAAATGTTTCATTGTGAATATTTTTTTTCCAATTTCGCCTCGTTTCGCGTGTTCTGTCCTTTGAGATTTCACAGAATAGAATATTTTAATATTTTATTTTAGGATTGGGAAATTATTTGTATAATTTTCCTTTAAAACAGTATAAGGAAATAATATTTGATAATATTTTAGTATTTGTTTAAGTTTACTTCAAATTTTCCTCACCGTGTATATATTGCAAACAGTGAATATAGTTAGGGAGAAACTAATAATAAGAGAAAGACAAGCAGAAGACACGGCCAAAGGAACGATCCATTCTCTGCAACTATTTGCTAAATACGCTGTTCAATTATTCATGTGTCAACGCTGTTTCATCTCTCTGTGCACGTTTGCGGTTTATCGTTGGACGCCTACCAATCTGGTTGCTTTCAAGCTCGAGGAATACTTCTGGGCATTTGTCGAGATCCGCGGTTTTCTTTCCTTGTATTCCTCTCAAGCTTGAAAGCACTGTTTTTTTCCATCATCATGTGCACTAGGTTTTCAGAATGACATAGCATTTGCATTAAAGATGTCCATCCTTTGTTGTTGTAAGACAATTTTTGCAGTATAACAGTGAAAAATTAAAATTTATACATATATAATTATCCAAGCTTTGTTTTAAAGTCAAAGTTTTATATGCAGAATTGTATTTCTTTTGCTAATAACTTTCCTTGTTTGAGAATAAATTTAATTGCATGAAAAGTTAAAATCACTTGTTGATCTTGAATATTACATCTACGACGGTGTCGTCTAAATTCTGTTGACTCTTCTTGGTTGGGCTTATGATAAGAGATCCTTAGAATTTACAGTTTATAGGGCGAAATATTAAGGCAAATGATAAAAAATTATTAATGTATTTTCTAAGAATCATTCTAACTATTTGTCAAAAAATGAAAAAGCATTAAATTCTTAAAAAAATAACATTTTCTTTCTTTAATTTCTTAAAAATCTTTGAGCGTATCCTAAATTTTTTTTAATTAGAAATTCTAGTATAACAAATTTTCAATTTTCATTTCAAAAAATTTAATTATTATTTTCTTTTTTAATTCATTTTTATCTAGGATATTTACTATGAAAGAACAAAGAAATCGATATATACTGAGGTAAAGTATTTATTTTCACACTATGATTAATCATTCTCAATCTGAATTAGATAGCTCATTTCTCGTTCGCAAGTTATATGTTGGTACATGCAAATAAGTATCATGACTGTGTTTCCCGTTCAATATATCAGAGTCCTGACTATCATTACTATAGGTTAAACATTTTACCCTATCCATTCCGGATCGCGCTACCTGTGCACCAAATATTTCGTCTGATGTATTCAACGAGCAATCTAATATGTTTGACAGCGGGATTTAATCGAAACGATTGAGTTTTCCATTTGCAAATTCCTGGATCCGTTTGTTTTTTATTCTCACTCTGTACTGCTAAATAATACAAAATATACTAATATATATTATACTAATAATATAAATCATAAATGTGATTTCATGTAAAAAAAGGTAAGAAAAAAAGAGTATATTTTTTTCATTCAAAATTTCACTTGTACATAAAAATTTTTCAAACTTGATTTACTCGAAAAACAAAAGTCTGGAATGAAAAATTTTATTTGTTTTTATTTATCTTTACATTTATATCAATTTCTTTTTCATTTTTTTTTTTTTTGTAGATTTACTGGTTGTACCATCAATTGAATAACATCCTATACTTTTACAGAGCAATATTTCAGATCCAAGCACTCGTTATTCGCTCGTTTACTATTCGTCCGCCATATCGGGTGAAAAACAATTTTTCCTAACTCAATCTCCACTCGTTTGCCCAGCCAAACGATACATCTTTCTATCCAGGATAGAAATATCTGAGAGCTTTTAAATCTTTGCTAGATCTCTATTCGAAGAACCACGAATTTTATTACCTCTTCAAGTAAAAATTTCGTGTAAATCGATCGATTCTTTCTGAAGTGGAAAACGCAATCAAATCAGTAAACAAAATACGAATACACTTGCGATTTCTTCGCAATTTTCGATTCGAATACGAATAATAAGCAATATTTATTCTTTGATCGGAGCTCGTACTTTTTGCACCGATCTTCGAAGATCTTAGAAAATCTTTGAACTTCGAGGAAGTCATTTTTCTCACTAAGAAGTGCTCAAGAAAGTTTCCAAACTTCTTTACCTGATTTTCTGTTCGTGCCAGATATATCCTATAGACCAGGATTTGTTTCTTCTTGTTTATGCGGCTGAATACAATTAAGGAGAGTCTGGGTCGAGTTAGTTTTTATCACTGCAATTTAAATTGATCGTAAATCATACGTATTTTTCAGATATATATATATATTTAATATATCTAATATATATATAAGGAATATTTTATTTGAATATTCTCGCGAATATTCGATTTTAATCAAATGCATAATGTTGAATTGTGTTGAAATCTTACATTATTATTAACCATTATTATCATTATTTTATTGTTATTGCTAATATTATTGATACTTATTAATATATAACACGTTAAAATCGGGTTATTAGCGTTGCTATCCTCATTATCATTATTAATTTATGAATTATATTCTTCGTCATTATACTCTGATCTACGTCAAATTACTAATTACCAACGGTTTTGTAATTCTATATCAACATAACTAAATTGAGATTAACAGTCTGTCTACCCCGAAGCGATCCATGAGTGAAACAACTAACTGGAAATCATATATTGCTACAAATCTCTTAATTAACCTGAATTTCGAGTTTATGGTTCATTAACTGCACTTCACCTCTTAATGGAGTGGCATCTGTCAGTGAATGTTTATAAATTCGAGTTTTTCAAATCACTCTGAAGATGATGCTTTCGACGATGAAAATAATAAAAGTGGAAAATTTAACGTATGATTGCTTCATAAATTACGAATAAGAGGTGGAAGCACGAGGCTGGAACACGATTTGTCGGCCGAGTCGAGTGCTCGTTAAAGGAGTTTCACTCGTAAAATATCGTGCGATATACGGCTCAAACGTATCGTTGATTTCAAACGTTGAAATTTATGCGATGTATGTACTTGATTATCTGAATCGAACCTCTGTTTGACAATTGATCTTTCGATTTCTCTTCTGAGATACGATATAGGGAATAACAATGTTGATCGTCGAATCGAATTGGAAGAAAATTACCAAAAATTGTTTCCGTTGTAAACGTATCAATCCTTTCCAAATGCGATGCAACTGTTAATGAAAAAAAAAGAAAAAATATTTCGTGAACTATGAAAAAAATATATAATAAATATAATACATTTTATAATGTAATGTACATTGGCTTCAAGATTTGAGATTTTTAATTTAAAGTGGAGATAAAATAAAAATAATTTCAATTAATGTATGATTATTTAAACTATTATTAAAGTTATTACATTCATTCAAATTTATAATATAATATGTACAATATAAATGAGAAGATATTTTGTATTTTTGATACAAAATAAAAAATTTATTAAATATTAAACAAATATTATGCTTGCAAAATTGCTTAAAAATTAAAAAATATTTGATACATTGTTATTTTATAAAATTAATTTAAAATAATTATTTAATTAAACTAAACTTTATTAAAAAATTTATACAAAAATATAAATGATATATTAAAAGTTAAAATTTATACTAAAAATATAAACAAAAATTATTAGGATTGTATTAAAAATAAAATTTTTTATATTAAAAAGCAATATCAAGTTAAGAACTTTTCTATATTTTTATTGTATCCTTCCTCTGAGTATTTTCTAAAATTTTGTTGTATAAATTTATAATTAAAATATTTTATTGTACTTCAATTTTCGCGCGATTGAAATATAAGGAACAATATTATTCCAACCAATCAGAAAGCGGCTAAGGTCTGATAGCTAAACGAATTGCATATGGCGACAGTCTGTTAGCAAGAATCGTAAAGAGAGCACACGTTACAACGTCACGGATATATAATTAGTAAATATTAATATTGTGGTATAATTTATAGATTGTTAGTGGTTTTACTTACTTAATTTGTGTGTCTTTATTCATTTATCAAATATTATTTTGTCAAAATTAAATTATTTTTTATACTTTTTATCGTTCTTTACTGCTCACTCATTTAAGTGTACATTTACCCGTAATTTGTATTATTAAACATTAAAAATCGAATTTAAATTTAATCATTGACTTATTTCAACATTATTTTAATTTCATATATTTGTTTTCTGATTCTTATTTATGCAATTATGCATTAATGTTTAATTACTGAAATAGCAGTGACAATACAATAGGTTATGCACATATATTTATGCAAATGTGATAAGATTTTTCATTTTAACAATAAATGTATAATACTTAATATATAAATTAATATAATTATTATATCTCTATATATATCTTTCTATCCTTTTTCTTAATTCATATAAAAATAAAAACAAAAAGATCAAACAATTTGAATCAATTATATTTTATATACATACTCACATATTTCTTTCGGAATTGCGTCTATTTGTACATTCGTATTATTTTTGTTTTTATTTTACGTTCAAGGCTAAGAATGTTTTTTGTAAGCCAGCGTTCCAAGAAAATTGACGATGTATTTCTTTCTTTGTTTTTATATTACGTAGGCGAAAAATATTTATAATGTAATGGTCGCAAAAGATTACTGGTCGCATTCGTAGAGTACGTTCGATATATACATAAATCGATTTGCCAAACATCAAACGTTTTCCTTAATCCAATTCGATAATCGAACTCGCGGTGCGAGGTATCAGTCTATAGTCGAAAGTCATAGTGTGTG